CTGCACATTTCCAAGTACTGTGCTATTGGCCTTAGATACACAACTGTCCTTCGTCTCAGACTCTTGCATACTTTTATTGGTAAACATATTTCTACCAGAAATTATTCTCTAAACATCTTCATAAGCACGGAGAAGCTCTAGCATGAGTAAGATAGTTGCCAGTGCTACGTGCATTAGCACTCTGTAATAAAAGTGAATATTCTTTCCCCTTGTGAAAACAAAGCCAAAGTTATCTGGTGTAGTTCATGCAGCCATGTAATGGAAGGGGGAATTTTATATTGCCTGCTGCATGATCAGCAACTGTTCTGTGGCAATGCTAACTATTCTAACCAAACAGAAAAGGGCCCTTTGCATGCAGCTTAGCTCAAGCAGTGAAATCAATACAGACAGAACACAAATAGTTACAAGCAGTATTTGTACAGCGGGGGGAATTCATGTTGGACAGCATTGTTCCAAGTTTGCCGCAGTGTTTTAATAAATCTAGCCCCTATGGCAGACAAATACAGGACCCACTTTGCTGTCCAGCAGCTGAGCTAAAATGCTATGTACATCTGAGATGATATTTATCTCAAGGAGACTTGCCAGACCTATTTACAGACATAAATACTGTAACCCATCAGTTATTATATGAAGAACAGGAAGATATTTTATTATCCAAATAGATAAAATGCAGGGAATTCAAAGCAGAGGAAGTTTTTTTTTTTTCCAAAAGGTTTTTTTTCAGAGATGGAAGGGGAGAGAGAAGCATGCATAATTTGCCTGAGTAAGGTTTGTCCTCTCATCCCTCCTCTGCACCATCTGTGCATCCACAGACTATGCACAAGCTGTGAGAATGCAAGAGGATGGGCAGAAAGTCATCTCGTAGTGATCCTGCACTGGGCCACCACAAGGAATCTCCTGGCCTTGACATAATTGCTATACCAAGGAGTATTTTACAGCCACTCGAAGCTTGCTTTACCAAACTGAGACAGGGCCTTGGAAACTGATGTAATGTAGAAACAACTTCTGAGCTGGTTACATTATGTGGGGGCTATTGTCGAGCTCTGTAACAGCCTGGCTTGACACAAAAGAAATGTAAAGCTTTATCTACAATCCACCTTCCCACCTGCACTGTGTTGTCTCTGCAAGAGGACAAAATAATAGTTTCTAAATTGTTAGAGAAAAATTCAAAGCTGAAGATAATTCTCTGAGAAGGGAACAAGTATTAGAAGCTGCAAAAGTATCAGGAGAATATTTTAAAGACGAATGATTAGGTTAGGTAAAGCTTCACAGAAGTGAGATACAACAAAAGTCTGGTGAAAGAACCTCAGCTTGGGAAATTTAAAGTCAAACCAGTGAAAGCCATCAACAGAGCAGCTTCTCAAACAGCTGGGATGCTCCCTAACACTCCTGGCAGAGGGAAGTAAATTTTTTACTTTGTCTCATGATCTTTAATCTGGGAGTTACTTCCTTTAGCAAAGGAGTCCATTCCCCCCTTTCACTACTCCAGGTACTGTTGATTAATTTCTTCAACAAAGGAATAGCTGGCTGGAACATTGACCTTCTCCTGTCTCTTGGCTGGGCAAACTGGCTACAAGGAAATGCTGCTTTTCAGTGTCTTTCCTCAGAAATATGGGCACTAGTTCTGAATTATTCAGGATTTCTCAGACATGGAGGGTCTCAAGACCAGGGACCAACAGCCACAAACACAGATACAGTGCTGTGGCTTTGTGGTTAGAAGGTGGAATCTTTTGCCCCAGAGCTCTCACTGACCTGTAACCGCTCGAGCTAGAAGGCCAAGCTGCTAGCAGGAGCAGGGAGAAGGGCTTTTATCTTCTCTGGAGGTGGAGTGGTTCTTCCATTGTCTGAATAGCACTGTTACACATCCTGTAAGAATTTCTGTATGAAAGGTGGAAAATAGTGAGGTATAACGGGTTATGATTATTGCATGTGACTAAAGGAAAATAATTTCTCAGTGTTTATGGGATTGTGTACTGATGTTTGTACTTGAATCAGTTCTATTTTTCTAACACAGGCTGTTAGTGAGTCATATACTATTTTCCAGGGCCTACAAAAGATGACTGGGAAAGGCATGGCTACTGGGAATAAACTTAAATTTGCTGCACCGAGGTCTGGCTCTCCATTAGAAAACCTTTAAAAGTGTCCATTCTACAAAAAAAAAAAACTGAAAGCACCTAACTTACTGTCCTGGTTTGGGCGAAATCAGAACTAATTTAGCCTACTTCGCAAATAGGCTCTTTTTAAGAAGAACAGGATGGAAAAAGTAATAGCTGAATAGAAAAAAAAGAGTGACCTAGAACCCAGAATTCCTCTGAATGGAGAAAATATCTTTACTGACTCCACCTCCAACAAAATGCTAGAGTTTTCTGCCAGATCTGGGAACTAACACATCACAGGATATAAAGAGTTAAGTGACCTGCTCTTTGGAGCAGAAAGGATAAAGGAGGGAAGAAAGCTTTAAACAAGATTTGAAAAACTCTCCCCTTTGAGGCACCAGGTGAGAAATATTTTGTGAGTTAGCGGCCAGGATTAGCTGGTTAGACCCTAAAGCAAGACTACTCAAGCAATGGCTTCAGCACAGTTGCAAGGCAACCCAATTTTGATTTGGTTTTGCCAGAGCGCAGTGCAAGAACAAATAATAAAGGGTGGCTAGCTGCAAGGAGGAACTGGGACTGGGACCTATGAGCGCTCTCTCCTCTTCATGCCCACATGCACATGTAAGGTGGGAGATGGTCTCATCAGAAATTGTGTAACTCTGCACATAGGTTTCAAGGCAGGGACTATAGGGGTTATGGTCCCAGGATGTTCTGTTCTACTTTTATTTTTAAGGTCTATTCTGAGGCTTTAAGTAATTTGCACTGTCATTGCTGCCAGCAGAAGCAGAGCTGCCTTGTTGAGGCTGGGGGGCGGAGGCATTCACGATCAGCAGGAGGGGAAACACCTCTTGGCCCTTGTGAGAGTAGAGGTGCATGATTCAGTCCTGGTTTGTTGGGATGGTTAAAGGACATGATAACAAGACTCAGAAGATGCTTAGTGAGGTCAAAAGAGTGTGTAAATCAGGAATCATGATAACCTAGAGGCAAGAAAACAAGACCATGGGAATACAGGATTCCTGGAAATGTCCATTATTTAAACTCTCCTCTTAATTCGGCTTGCAGAGAGACAAGGTCAGTTGGGAACACCTCTGCTGAGGCCTTGATGGGACTCTGCCTGCATTATGATGTTGGAGTTTAGCCTTATAGTTAGAATATATTTCTACTCCCATTCCTGCCAAATCTGGTACTGCAAGTTGGTGCTGCAGGAACCACGATACCTCGTGTAAAGCAGTTAGCATACTGGGAACAAAAAGGTTAACCTCTTCAAATTTTAGAACGTCTCTAAAAATGACCAACCTCCCTTCTAACATTTGAGGACCAAAGATCCCAAGAGAAATGCTAACACTGTGATGATTAGCAGGGAATAAAAGTAAAAGCACCATGGTTTGCTTTGCACCGAGGACAACTTTTTTGTAGTTTCTGTGAGCACACTGAGGTCTCACAGTGGCTGACTGGACTCATCTTTGTACAGGGATCATTGGATTTGCTTCCTAATATTGCAAAATCAGTGTTTTTTGTTTTTTTTTTTATATATACAACATAGCACATTGAAATAATTGGTATCAGTATTGTGTGAATGTTGCATACTACTAAGCTGGAAAAAAAGAAAGGCAGGAACAGAAAGCCTTCTTTTGCTGTAATTTTCATAGTCTGTTGATGCTGTTCCTGCTATGTTGTACCTGAAAGCTGTTTCACCCCCAGCTGGCACTCACGGAAAGGTAATACTGTCCTCAGCTTCACAGCTGAGTAAAACTCAGTTTCCTCCTCTGTACATGATGTCAGAACTGGTGCTTACTGGGGCAGTGTGTTCACCAGTGAAAAAAGATCAAAATAAAGCAGCTTTATTTCAAGTTGAAACTTATAGTTTCAAGCAGGACGATGTGGAGGCAGAAAGTTGCAAAAGTGAGCTCTGCCATTTCCTTTCTCCCCTGAGAGGAGTGATGGATGTCTGCCCCGGTCCAGACATCCCACAGTGCAGCAATGTCAGCATACTCTTAGTGTAAACAGAGAGTCAAGTCCAGTGGTATCGACAAGCCAGTGATTTTAAGCTTCTGCAGCTTTGAGGGGATTGCTCTAGATGCAGAGGGGTGGAAATGTGGCCGGAGTCAGGCCCAATACATTTACCCTGGCTGGAAGCAGAAACCAGGCCTTCAGCGTTGCATTCAAGCTCCACAGTAAAACACTTCAGCACAGCCTGTTCCAAATGCGTGACACCCTGCAGAAAAGAGGCTGGGCATGCCTGCCAGAGCCTTGAAGCGGATGCTATCTCCCATTTACGGAGGCACTGCACCATCTCCTAGGCTGAACCTTGTTGTCGCCAGTGTTTACGGATTCACCGAGATGCGTCAAAGCCTCCCCACAGAGACAGGGAACTGCACAGCCTGCCACTGACAGGCGGATCTACTCTCTTCAGTGTGTCGGCTATGCACACACGAGCGCGCGCACACACGCACACGCGAGGGCGGTAAGTCCAGCCCCCAACAGCGGCACCACCCTTCTGCTGCTGGATTTTTCCACCCGGAGTATCTTGCCCGCTCTGCTGTAATTTATGGAAATTTGTTTCTGACGTGGGGCTTTTTCTGCTACGACAGGGACGACTGGAGGAGGCAGAGTTGCAGTCAGGGCAGGAGAAGAGAGGGAGAGGAAGAAGTGGTGAGCAGAGGGACACTGGGGGAGCAGAGAGGACAGAGGGAGAAAAAGGTACAGAGACACTTCAGAGATGGGTGAGTTATAGCTAAGAGAGCAGGAAGAAAGGCAGAGAAAGGGAGAGAAGGCAAACTGTGGGGAAGGGAAGGTCAACGGAGCTCAGAGAGTGAGTCAGCCTCAGGAGGGCAAACACCAGGAGACAAGTTCAGGGAACACCCCAGCACCCCTAGAAGGACCTGTTTCGTCTGAATCTTCACCATGAGCACAAGGAAGAGCTGCCCCCTGCCACTGGGGCAGGGGGACCGGGAGGAAAAGCAGAGTGAGGGTACTCCTGACATGGAGCGAAAGGAGTGTGATGTGGAGCTGAGAAACAAAGCTATTCTGCAACAGAAAAGGCGCCTTAAACAGGCCACCCAGTTTGTGCACAAGGACTCTGCTGACCTGCTGCCCCTGGATGGCTTGACAAGGCTTGGCACCTCCAAGGATCTGGTGAGTCCAGTGGGACCCTATTTGGGAGGGGGTCCTCCTAATAGCCTTCATCCCAGTTGGGAACTGCTGTCAGGCTTTGTGAAAGGGTCATGGGTTCAGCAAAGATGAAACTTTCCTTCAGCATCATCTAGGAGCCAGTCAGGGTGAGGGGAAAGAACGAATCACCCATTTTTTTTGCATCCATCTTCCCATGCATCCCTATAGGGACCAAGCTCCTCACAGAAGCAGGGAGACATGGACTGGAAGGACTCTCCACAATCCAACTTTCCACTTACCTGGTACATGTGTGTGTTCATCTGACGTGTATGTTTCCATGTGGGAAGTCTCTGAAAGACCCCATGTATTCCTGCATGATCCAGCCCAAAAGCAGAATCTTTCTGGGACTCAGCAGGGAGGGAAGCACAGTTCATGAAACTCTGAGAGGCTTGTGTTTGACCTTGTAATCTTTTTGCATTATTCTCTTTCCCCCCACTCTTTGGATTTCTGAAAGGCAAGCACAGGGCAGGACTGCTAGCCAGGTGTATAGACAGCTGCAGTGGCCGGCACCCATGGATGACACCTTTGGGGAGGAGGGACGGGAGTGAGGCCTGTGGGCATCTCCTTCTGGAGATGTGGATCAGCAGGCACCAGGGAGGGGCTCTGTTCCAGGAGCCTGGGCAGTCTGTGGTTTGGAGGGACTTTCCCAAGGCTGGGAGCAATTTCCCACGGGATCTCTCATTGGCTTAACTGCACACATCTCCCCCTTGCTCTGGCAGTTTTGCAGTCTAACTTCTCCTCTCTGCTGTGGAGTTTAACTGCTCCAGGATGTGGAGGTCTAATCCATTCTCCCAAAAGAGGGCCTGGGTCTGGCCAGTGATGGGGGCACAACCACTTATTCCAGCTATGCCAGTGCGTGTCATAAAAGATCTTGCCCCTCCCTGCAGCCCATGCTTACCTCTGTATCCTCAGACTATCACAGCAACACCACAGATGCTCGTGCATGTGTTATCTCCTCCTGTTGTTTTTTGGCTCCTGTAGCAGGCCCCATGGCTGCTGGCAGCAAAGCGCTGCTGTGTACGGGGCACACGTGTGTGGGACAGGCAGGGTCCCAGGCACTGGGCCTGAATGGAAATGAGTATAGTTTTTCTTGCTGAAACCTTCAGGTGCAACGGCTCTGCCACATGCAGCCGAGGAGTCAGTGCCACATTCCTGCGCTGGTGAGCCCTCCTGCTCCCACCACCCTCCCTGCAGCCTCCTCAGCTGCTGTTGGAAGTCCCTGGCTTGGTAGGGTCAAGGGTGGCTCCCTGAGCTGTCACCTCATGCTCTGCTAGACCTTCGCCGCCACATACACATCTGTCAGCAGGGACTGGTCTTGAGCATCCCTCTGGCCCTGAACACAGTTGCTGTCTGAAGTACAAGAGGGGAGTCACATAAGTGTCATGTTAGTGAAGAACAGGGCCTCTCCTCTCTGCAGGGAAGGAGACCTGGCCATGCCAGAGCCTGGAGGGCCCCATTCAGGCTGGTAGCATGGGCCGGCTGGCACCAGCCCTTCACGCCCTGCAGCATAGCAGCTGAAACATCTCCTCAGGAGGGGATAGCCAGACATACACCTGGGCTCTTCCTGGTACAGTTTTTGGCAGGGAATGGGGAGGAGCCACTTTTGAGTCTTTTAGTGCGTGTTTGCTGAGCCCATCCACAAAGGCAGAGAGAAACATGCCTACCTGCTTTGCTTTAGAATTGATTCCTGTCACACGATGCCCTAAAATGACAACTGTGGTGCCGGCCAGAGGCTTCTGAAAGTCATGCACAGTATGGGTGGCAGTCTTGACCTCCAGAGGCTGGTGCCCTGAAGCCCCAAATGCTTGCTCTAGTGAGACAGGCCTTGTCTGAATTGCTTGCCATGAGCAGCACTCCCGGTCAAATTAACCATTCTAGGCAGGAGACTTCCTTGCATGCAGATGATGTTTGGTCACTGAAAACCACTGTATAGACCATGTTCGGTCTGTAACAGAATGGCTGAAACACTTTTAACATGGAGCTAGGGAGCACTGAATAAAGCCTAACATCTTTCCTGCTATGGAAGTTTTGCACTGGTGTTAGAAGGCACAAAATAAAGTGTGGCACCTGTGCGAATTTCACACACGTGGTGCCATACCTGGAGTCAATGCAGTAGCTGTGCTACCTCCGCTTCTGTTTTACCCTGGAGCAAGAGAAAGAACCAGGCCTTAGATTTCCAAGAGCAATTCAGCAGTCACTGCAACTTGATGGGCCACTGTGATACCACTGTGATGTTTTGGGAGTTGCAAATTAGAGTCCAAAATATGCTTTCAGACCTGCCTCCAGCCCCGTGCAAAACTCCATCTATGTTTCCTAAATTCGTCTGGCTCCCTCCTGGAGGACAGGAATGCAGAGCAGAAAATAAAGCAGCATCAGGAAGCACTAGAGATGTTGATCTTGGAAAGAAAAATGCAAAATATTCCAGAGTCCTATAGCATTTACACTGGGAGGAGAGTTTAATGAATTCCCCAAAACATGTCTCCCCTGACAGTGCCAAAGGCTACAGCTGTGGCAGCTGGAGCATGTCATAAAATTAGAGGAAGGTCCCATGTCATTTAAAAAACCTACATATTTTCTTACACAAAGCCAGGCTGCTACTTTTTGACACTCTTCTGTGTATTCTGTGTGTGCATCCAGCTTATGCAATGCATCCAGCAGCGTCTGGGATTTGATGGACATCTCCAACAATGAGAAATTATACATTTCAGTGGAAACCTCACAGCTTTATAACAACTATAAGCATGACACTTTTTTTTTTTTTTAAATGGAAAAAAAAAAAAAAAAAGTAGTTGCATGAGCTAAAATATCCTGAAAGTGCCAAGAAGGTCTGAAGATCTGGCTTCTCCCCTCCCAAAAGCCAAGATCCCCAGTTCATACCACTTCATTAATCATAGCAAGGCCTTTAGATTTCACATTGGAGAACCCGAATGTGATGAGTTTCACTGGGAACCTGCTCTGACCCTTCTAAGAGGTGGCCTCCCTTCCACAACTGGCCACAACTCCCTTCAGGTCCTCCCTCACCATCTTCTTCATCTCATTGCTTCTTACCAGCCCAAGAAAGACAATGGTCCCCACTTCTCTGTCTCACTGGTGAGACAGAAGACAGGGAGGGCCCCAGGAGTCTGCTCTTGAATCAGATGCCTCCACAGTCCCAAAGCTCAGCTACTCCCCATGAGTGCTTGGCCTCTTCCCAGCCTGAGTGACGAGAAAGAAGGGGACAGAGGTGGCAGCTGCAAAGAGCCATCTCTTTGTGTGGGAAAGGTTGTGGGGAGACAGAAAGGTCCTTTGCATGCCAGATTGTGAGAGGAGGCAGGAGGGAGGATGGGAATTTGGAGACCTGCTGTCGGTTCCCTGCCCTTTTCCCATGGCCCAGATGTTAGCTGGCAGACAAACTGGCACAGTGCTCAGAGTATTTAGGGAATGAATTACAACAGCCAGCTGTGCTGTGGTCCTGCACAGTAGGCTGGGAAAAGACCAGGAACAGAGGGATATTTTTACCTCACTTTTTCAACTACTGCAGTGCCTCTCATGCAGCATGTGTGAATTGATCTGACGCTCACCCCTTGAGTGACAGGGAAACAGAGGTGCGAGGGACTTGGCACCTTGCAAAGAGCAATGCTAAGTGCAACCAAAAAGCCAGTAACAGTTCTCCTGCTCCAACCATTGGGCAAAACTGACAAGTCAGTGTTCTTTGAGTTGCAATTTGCACAATTGCCCAGCCTCAACCCTCTGACCAAGCATAAAGCTAGTCTGAAGCACACGCATTCCATAGGGTTAATACAGCCCAGCTCACTGTCAGGTCTGGTCTAATTCAGATGTTTGGCCTGCACATTGATAAGATCCTACATCAAACTGCTGCACCATCTGGAAGTTGATTTTTAAATTTTTTTTTAGAAAGATAAAAGCAACAGTTCATGCTGTAGCACATTAGCCCCTTTAGATTCATCGCCTTTCTTCACATAGGCAGCTGTTACTGAGAACGCTACTGTCAGCTCCGAGCAGCTGCTCTCCTGGAGAAAGGCCATGGGGCCAAGTACATGGAGAATGAACAAAGCAACCTCCAACAGGCCTACTTCACTGATGCTGCCAATTGTTGATTCAGTAGCTGTGCAGGGACTGGAGGTACTGGATCAGCATTGAGCAAAAACTAGAGCATCAAATTGATAACAAAGGGAGCTTTCTTTCCAAAGCAACAGTTTTGTCTGTGTGTATGCAATGTCAGGACAAGAAGTTTTTCACAATTTTTCTTCCCTTTTGGTGCACCTCTGCTTCTTCTGCCCAGAAGAAAGGAGATAGGAATATGAGATACATGAGATACCAATGAGATACATGAGATACGAACAAAGTTCCTTCAGTCATTATCAGCTCCCTTCTAGCTGTGAACAACACAGGGCTTCATGGGTGCTCCCCCAACTAGGAAAGGAGTCAAAATAGTATCGCTTCTGATGGACGGGAGCTGAGACAGACTCCAAAAAGTATTAGAGCTAGGTTTAGTTTCCTATGCAGGGGAAGCTTCCCACTTCACCGCAAATAATTGCTTGTACACCTAAAATTTCTGGAATCCTGCCTTCTTACACACATGTACATCATTCACATGATGCAACCCCCCTCCCCCCCCCATTAGAAGGTGTGAGTGTGCCTGGTTGGGTGTCAGGACACACCCACCAGGTAGTGTATCGCACTACCTGAACAGGTATAAGACTGCTGAGTGCATGTTTACCTGAAGGAATAGATATGTGTGGGGAAAGCATGCATCAGGCATGTTCTTCTCCTCCAATAATTGCATCCCAGAGACCTGCCTGTCACAGACATCCTAACATTTTAACATAACCTTAGTGGCTACAGGAAAAATCTTGAGATTTATAGAAAGTTTTTGGTATAAGCTGTTCTTTGATCAGGATGATCAGTTGGGTCAAGCATTTGCAATCTGCTTCCCTGGGCTAGCAAATGTCCTTGTCCTTAGCTCCATACTTAGCTGGGATTTCTCTTTCTTTGTGATGGAGACAGCAGCCACATAGTGTGGTCCAGCGACGCCTCTTGGAAGGCAATCTGAACAAGCTGCGGGGCGAGACCAGGGTTCAGTCTGCATGGGTTCAATCTCCACTGGCAAAAGACCAGGATGAAAAGATGGAAAAGGGGGAGGACAGGAGAAAAGAGACTTCATCCCTGCTAATACAGTGCCAGGTAAGGCAACAACATGGTGCTGCTGATTTCACAGTGATGGCAAATACTCAATGAGTTCCAGCTGCCCCACTCCCAAGGGCCATCCTAAGGTATTAATTGCAAAGCCAGCTGCAGCCGGATCATCTAATGCATGGCCTCTCCCAGAGTTTGGATTTAGTTCATCCAACAGACAGAGGAAAGCCTTTCTGCCACATGCATTTTAGTCGTCCATATTTGAAGATAAATTACCTTAATCACATCTCTTTCTTTTGAGGCCAGCTTTCCCATGATATGAGGTATTTCATAACTGCCTACAGAAACAAGGAATATCTCCTTATGACTTTAAGACAGGTGCCCTTAGATGATTTACACTTACTGGATCCAGTCTGGTCTGATCCTTTCAAGTGCCAAAGGACCTCCTAGGAAAGTAGCTAACTGTGCTCTGAATTAGCACTGCTGCATTTCTTGATGGAAGCAGCATTTTTAGCTCCCCTTTCTTCTTATATCCTCCTACACAGCAGAAAATACTCCTCCCTGGCCCCTGTAGGTAAGAAAGCACATTGAAAAGCTCCATGAAAGAGGGCTGCATGGTCAGAGCTATTCAGTAATATGCAGATATAAGACTCACCAAGATACAGACCTGGAATACCAAATCCATTTTAAAGCTGTATTTATTTCAGTTACTTGTTCTAAAGAACATGTCGCATGTTAGAGCGTAAAGTCTACGATTCCAGGAAAAACACATGCACCTTTGAAAATTCACTTGGCATAATTCATTATCATATGAACACAGCCTGACAGCAAGTTTCTGAAATGTTCAGATCAAGTGTCTCAGTACCACACAAAGCTACTGTCTGGTTTGTTTTCCAGCCTTTACTGTTGCAGTTAGACATTGCTTACCCTGGGTTTTAGACTCTGATGTAGCTAGGTTAACACAATCATACTTGGGAAAACAGACTAGTAGGATGAGTGCCTCTCAGTGTAATTTCTCCAAATAGCTGGAGTCTTTTTTTGAGCAAATGAAGGTGTTTCTTTAATCACTGGTTCTGTAAGAGGAAACTGGGTGATAAAGGGTGGGTTTTTTGTCAGGCATACACATCAAACAAGGACAGGCATGCATAGGTATTATACCCCAGGGCAGTAGCTAACTCAGCATCAGAGTCCACTATTCTTCCTTTTTTGTGCTTCTAATGGACTGTACCCCAGCTGTCACATATATTGTTTTCCTTCACAGAGAAAGGTTAATGAACATCATAGTCAAGGAAATAGGTCGCTGCACTTAACTGTCCCTGAACTCAGAAGCTTCTGCACAGGCATTTCTCTGGTTTTGTACCCTTCTTCAGAGCCAGTCACTCTTCGCCACACTTAATCTACTTACACAGAAGGAAGAGAAGCTCTTCTCCTCTTCTTTTTAATCTTTCTGCTTTTCATGTTCACATTTGTGACTTCAAAAAGCCTCACCTGTAAGAGATCTATGGCAGGAAATAGCATTCATGCTGCCGGTTCATTTTAATTAGAGAGGTGAGCTGGTACCTTTTGGCGAACTGCTTGACTACGGTGTAGTTTTTGCTAGAAATGGAACACGACCCCAGTGAAGTTTCTCCTCTCTGACAGCAGCTCCTGAGAAAACATCGTCTACCAGCATAAAGCTTCCATTTACACTCAGGCAAGTATGCTGAAAATTTCAAAGTGGTAACAAACACATCACTTGACTAGTAACTGAACTTGACTAGGAAATAAAGCTTGAATATATGTAGACTTCAGTGATACAGGGAGATTTGGGCAGTAAGTGTTTTCATTCTAACAAATTATAGTTGCCCTGTGCCTAAGGCCTTTTCAAGTTTCAGAGATCACAGACGGACCCAGTCTCTAATGGAAGTACTGCAGAGTCATTCCCCCTCCTATTTATTTAGATGAGTTGCTCACATGGTACTTTATCAGAATTGAGCCTTTTTGTGGCAGTTTTCACAAAGCACTCTGGAAAGCTTGCCATGACTGGCATCTGCATTGTAAAATCAAGCTGTTACTTTTTGTGGCTGGGCTTGTCTCTTGTTGTCTTGGAAATAGATGCTGAAAGATTCCACTGCTGTCCAAGACTGCTTTACCTCTGTGCCAAAGCAACCTGGGATTAATCAAGCTTGGTTAAAGCAGCTTCTTGACTTTGCAACCGACATTATTTCAGAAAAAAAAGTTCTTTATAAATGGTGATCCTTACTGACTCCCCTCCCTTCTTTCTCTTTCTTGGAAATACCTATAATTGACCTTTAGATAAAGACTAATGGCGACTGGTAGTAACAGACTGAAAATTCTGGGGCAGAGATGAGAGTGGGTAATGTGATGAAAAGTCCTCTTAGTCCAAAAAAGGCTTGCAGTGCTCATCAGCTGCCTGTGTACTCCTTACATAGTCTGCATTGTATTTGGGGTATGCTGGACCAAGGACTCTCCTCAGGCTCCTGGTGAGTTCTTTGCACAAATGGTTAGTGGTATAATTGGAAGGTGAGGCTGCTGGAGCTGATAACTCTGCAGGGCTGTTTACCACAAAATGAGATGAAATGTCATTTTCTACAGAATAAGCACTCTCCTGTTATATCCTAGTAAGGATATAACAACTTGCAACTTTCCCAGCCTGCTGTAAAACAAAACTCAAGAATCCGCCTAGTGATACAGTTTAGGTTTGTTATCACAACACCACATGCATTTCAGGTCTGCCTGCTCCCAAAGTGATTTCTTAGCAATTGCTATCCATACTCCAGGTCTTCTGTTTCTGAAGAGCTAATACAATGCCTTTTCTGTAGCCGGGCAACGAACAGTTGGCTCCTGAGCCACAGGGATGGTTAACTCTTTCCTAGTAGAATCCATGTCTGCTAATGAGGAAGGGCTGATTCAGCTGGACACTGTTGGCAGGTTGCAGTCTGGGCAGATGTGGTAGCATGGTTAATATATCTGCCTAGGTAGCGAAGAGACAAGGGGAAGCCTCTTCTATGAAGCACAGTAAAGAGGCTGAGGAGGCAGATGTCTGGCATGTATCTGCACTTTGTGCTTTATCTTGTCTCTCTGCTTAGTCTAGCTACAATCCTTCCAGGCAGGGCTGATGTGTCAGTAAGGAACAGACAGCACAGACATTACAGAGCTCTAAAAGCAGAAAGGGAGGCATTTTATCATAGAATGGTTTGGGTTGGAAGGGAACTTAAAGACCATCTAGTTCCAACCCTGCTGCCATGGGGAGGGATAAGGGACTGTCCTCAGGGTCCAGTCAATTTCCAGGTTGTTTTCTCTCTAGAAGCCTGGACTTTGTAATGACAGTTTGTACCAAAAACAGCTGTTGTCATGAGGTAAGGTGGGATCTCTCCAGTTGGCCTTGAGGACCACTACGGGGAGGCACTAGTCCTAGTCCTGAATGTTTAAACTTGACATGCCAGGCAGCCTGGAGCCATGGTAGGAATGTTTTTTCTTAAACAAGCAGAACTATTTTCAAAAAGTCAGGAGCTTCTAAATAGAGTGCTTTGCAGCTTTTCCCCTTCTGCAAGGCTCTAGCATGCTCCCCCACTTGCTAAAAGTAGGTTTGTGCCAAGAGGCAGAAGGCATGCATGAATGAAGGGCAAGAGAACAGATGTGCATTCTGGGAACAGGCAGCAGCTCATCTGGGTTTCCTAGCAGCTCTGTCATGTGTGATCTGTATTACCATGGGACGGCAGTTCAAGCTGCTCTGCAGTGAAGCGGGACTGCTCATTTGTGAAGGAGCTTGGGGAATATTTCTGTATGAATGTGCAAAGAACTGCAGAGAGGGCTTCTGGGGGCTGGTTTCTCAGTGGTCTGACTCTGTTTCATGAATCTTCCAGCTGATATCAGCTCAGCTAAGTTTTGTGTTCTCATAACCCGTGACTTTGTAGTTCTGTGGCAATTACCATACCGTGTGCTAAAGAACTCTCTGTGATGATTAACCCCTGTAATAAGCAGATTTAGTTAAGAAATCAGGAAATTGAGACATTTTTTCTCAGCCCTTCTGGTGCTGCACTGGATCCTGAACAGTCATGCTTGATCTGCTTAAGGTGTTCAAAGTATTTAAGCTTGTCAGGAATAAGCGTAAGGGTAGAGGAGGTGTGGGAGGTCTGTTGATGCTTCTGAGTGGCTTGTGGCACTGAGTGCCACAGTGGATTGAAGAGAAAGAATCACAGGAAAAACACAAATGATAGCAGGAGGAAAATGAACCTCCCAAGAGGGAAACTTTGTGGTTGGGGTTTTTTTTGCGTGTTGGTGCAAGACAGAGCCTTGAAGAACTAGGTCATCAAGAATGGTCATGGTTAGGCACTATAGGTAGGTGCAAGCCATATTTTGTAGATGTCAGTTACTCCATCTTTTCCTTTTCATTTACTAAGTCCTGATCCTCCTTTTTTTTTCTGAACATAACTCTTATTGATGTCTTTGATCGCCCTATTTTTTCAGACCTCTACCATATATGAGACCTGCTGTTACTTCAGAACTTCTGGCCTGCCATTAAGGACCTCTGTGCAGAGGGGACAGAAAAGAGATGGCAAACACTTCTCCTGTTCCCTTTCAAGTGCAAAGGGGTGAAGAAATGAAGTGGGCAAGCCACTGGGTGTTATTCCAGTAAGATCATGCAGAGGTGACTTGGGTGCAGGGCATCCAGTCTCTCTCCCTTTGCTAGATGACACCAGCTGTGAATATTGTTGTTGTAGTGTTCATGTCATACTTCCCTAAAGAGCTGTGTAGGAACTAAATGTAAGCACCACACAAAACGGACATCTCTTGATTAGGTTGTTTCTTGGATTCAGGAGTCGCTTGGTTGTGTCAGTTATGTTGGGAACTGCCTTAAATTCAAGCTCTTCTCAGGGATGTTTGCCCTGGGTGTTCCTGCTTCTCCCACAGACTTCTCCCTCTGGAAGCTGTTCAGCTGAGAACAGTGTCTAGCCCTGGAACATTGTTCCCTGTAACACCAGAAGAAATGGAGAGAGGAAACCTACAAAGGCTGTAGCACATGCTTATATTCCTTTAGAAGATTTTGTCATATCAATTATTGCTCTGCTATAAAGTCCATGTGGGTTTTCTGGACAAATTCACTAGTTATGCATCTCTTGACAGGAATACTGCTAAGTTAAAGTCACTAATAACAGATAAGTGCCTGGGAAATCAAATACAAATTAAAGAAGACAAATTTAAAAAGAAGCCTTTGGCAGAGGCTTGCGGAGAACTGGGGAGACCACCATTGTCTTGGATGAGTCTTCTCCCTTCTGACTACTGCCTAAAACACCACATCTTTGGCTGTGTTGCTAAGGAAGGTCTAAGGGATTGTCCCAGTCTTGGAGGAGTGGGCGTACCAATTTGAAACCCACAGTAATTATCTGTTGTTGTTTTTTCTAGTGCCAAGGTCAGGTATTGAAAGCGACTGTTAACACTGGATGTCTACCCAATCTCATCTCCAAGAGCTGTTTAAACCAGCTGGGGTAAGTCTTTGCACAGTAGAAAAGGAGAGGTGGCTAAAAGAAAACCTATGGGAAGGACCTAGGCACTCTTGATTCCCAGCCCCAATGATAATTACTAGCAGCTTTGCATGTGCACATGGCTGTTTAGGAAAAGGTGCAGAGGGTGGGCTACAGGTCAAGGCATCAGGAGCACTGGCAAAGTTGTGTGCAGACCCCAGAGCAGGAGGCAGAGCTATGTCATTCTGTCTGTGTGTAATGCAGGGCAAAGCTGCCCAGCTGATGTTTAGCCTCAGCGGTGAGGAAATCAAATGGACAGTGCCTTATGGTTCTGCTTGTAGAATCTGCCTACAGACACGCTATTATGAAAGAGATGCCTCCTCTTGTGGGCGTGTTCCCAATGAGACCAAGAATTACTGCCATCAGTGAGAAGTCCTGTTTTCCCTCCTCTTCCTCCACTTGAAGCAATAACACCTCTTGTGTCCCACAGGCTGGAAGAAGTATCTGCCATGGATTGTGGAGATCTCTCTCTTCCCATCCCCAGCGTTGTTGGCCGAGTAGAACATATGGAGTTACAATTTGGCCAGGAGACGGTGCTGTGTTCAGCACTGGTTGTAGGTGAGAGTGCCAGCCCCTCATCTCCCTCAGTTTTCCTGTGCCCTTTCGCCCTGCCAAGGGCATTTAAAAGGATTTTTGGCAAAAGCATAATGCAGTGGGAGGTTGGTGATGGGGTCACCTCCACTGCTGGCCAAGATCATTATGCGCTGTCAATACTCTCAATGTAACCAAAAGCAAAGGGCATAGGAAGAGCACAGAAAAGATAGAAGATGTTGAAGGTGGGGAGAAATGAGGTGGGTTTTGTTCTTAACACAGGATGTGGAAAATTCTCATTTCCTTCTAAAATGGATGTTTCTAAAATCATGCAGAGTGCTTTATTAGTCCTCTGGTGCCCTATGTTCTCATATTGAATGGGCACTTGTGTCTTTGCCTGGATGGAAGTCAGCAGAGAAACTGACAGTGGGCACAGCTTATTCCTCAGTGTTTCTCTGTGTACTCATCTGCCTCGGCTGCAGGGAGCACCCTGGAAGAATCTGGTAGCCCCAGAGTGCTGAGTCTCACTCAGTGTCCTGAGGCAGGACCCTTTGAAGGAAGGAGCCGTAGGAGACAAGGTCAAGTCAGCAGGCACTGGAGCACACCCAGAAAACAGCAGAAAGGCTGCATGTTCTGCATTTACATCAAGCTGTGCATATGCTCAAAACAACTTAGTTGTCTTTTTTCCCCCTGTTCTTTCTCCCTATTTGTCTTCCAGCTTTACACTCATGCCTTTATCTGTCTCCTCATCTTTGATGAGTACTATTCATCTTCCAAGGCCTTCCTTGCTCCCTCTTTTCATGTCCATTCTTCCCACTTTCCTAGTCATCTAGAAAGAGCTTCCTTCTCTTCCGCACTCCAGCTCACTCTTCTTCCCTGGTTTCCCCTTACTTGTTCTTGCCCTTCATGGGGAGTCCATATTAGTACCAGCACAGGTGAATTTAGCCTAGTAGCACCTATCCGTTTTGCTGTACTGTGGAAATGGCTGCCTGAAAGGAGCAGAACTGCTACATCTGTGCCTTACATCTCCCTGTGCACACAGTGTTCTTGCTTATGTGACTATAGATAAATCACAAAATACAGCCATTGGTTACAGGGCAAGCAGGCATCCAGGAGACATGGGAAGTGTTAATGATGTTACTTGTGGCTGCTGAATCCTGCAGACTCCGTGGCCTGGGGAGTCCTCCTTCCCTGCAACTGAAGTCCAGATGGATGACTCTAAGACCCCGGAGGTCACTCTTATCCAGTCCAGTGCATGTTCTTAGTGGCAGGTTTGGACAGTAGCAAAGCTGAATGCATATTCCAGAGAAGAACATACAGAAAGGACACAGACAAGGCCAGCCATACAGATCACCACACAGAGTAGTGTCTTTACCAGCACTCACATAAACACCAGCACAGATAGCCCAGTCCTGGTCCTCCTCTGGTTGACCAAGATTGAAGTTTATTAGCAGAAGCTCATATATCCTCAGTCTCCAGGTTCACAAGCACACTCATATTCAGAGTCTTCAAATAAAAGCACAGCTTCCAGGTCTGTCTTATATCCGTGTCTGGACCCTGGGCCCCTTACCTAGCCACTGACTCAGACCTTAAGTCTTTCCAGATGCAGGTTTTCTCCTACTCACTGGCTGGACCAGACTGAGGTTTGCTAGCTAATTATGTATACAAACCCATAAGCATATAGGATTAAATTCACTGGGATTAAATAAACATATCCAAGTCTTTCTAGTTAGTGGCATTTAGACCTCTTGCACATATGCCCTGTCCTCATCAGTTGCTGGCTTATAAACCTAAGGCCCCTGTGACCCTGGTCAGACCTGGTACCTAGAGCTCTCTTGCATGCTGGGCTCTCCAGTTGCTGGCACATAGACCTACAAGCTCTGTGACGCATAGTCCTTTTGCAGCTACTGGAACTCAGAACTTGCAGCACACATTGCAGTCCCTCCAGTTGCTGGCACCTGGGTGTATAAGCCCTATAGCCTGTGCTCCTTTCCCTGGCACCTAGACTTCTCTTGTACTCTGGTCTCACTAGTTGCTAGCACCTGTGAGCTTTGTCCACTTCCCCCAGTTGCTGACACAGACCTATGAGTCCTACGGCCCCTTCAGTTACTAGCACCTCTCTTGCATGCCAATCCCTCCGGTTGCTGACACCTAGAGCTAGTTGCCCTTTAACCTGTGGCATCTCCTACACTTGCTGACACTTAAGACTTGCAGCAGTCATATATAGGATAGAGAGGTTATACAGAAAAAAATAATTAATAAAATTATTTAATAAGAAGATCGGATAGATTGCAGCAAGGGTTTGGTCAGACAAGTGAACTAACCAACAGCCTGCTTGCATGTGACTGGTCCCCTTATCCCCTCCTCTCTATTTTTCTATGCTTGTGTTCTTCCCTGAGCCACCCTGCTGCTTGCCTTCTCCTGCCTTTGGCCCTTCCCCTACACAGCCCATAGTAAGATTTACATGTTCCCACAAGCCCCTTCTGATATCTCATAGTAAGTTTCAAACAATCCCACAAACCCCCTCAAATATCTCATAATATTCATGATCATCATGGTTCCCTTCTCTTATCAGCTACAAAGTTCATTTTGAGCCTAAGCCTAAGTAGCTTTTTTAATGGCTCATCAGTCGGAGGCAGAAGAGCGCTTGTCTTTGTCACTGTTACTGGCTGCTTGTTAATATTTGTGTGTTAAAATTCATCACTTTCCTTGCTATTTATTTACTTTACACTGAATAGACCATAACCATATAACTTTACGAACCAGATGCTCTCATATTCCACACTCTCTTACAGGAGAGACACACTTTGTTTAGAGGGCCAGTATATACAGTCTTAAGCCTGATCAGTCTTTCCTCTCTTCTCAGATGACGAAATGCTGGAGTTTTGCATTGGTCTCCAGACTCTGTTGTCTCTCAAGGTAAGGAACAACTTCTTGCTTATTGCAGGGCTCCCCTCAAGAAGTTCTCCAAGATCTGGTTGCTGTAAGCATCAGAAATACTTATGTCCAGGTCTTCAAGGGTGCCACTTGCAATGCTTGTTGCACAGCTGCCTGGCTGGCTGCAGTATGCTCTGAGTCACCGATTCCTTTTTAAAGGTTTTAAGAAAGGAATCACCCAATAGGATACTATCACATCTCCCATCCTTTTTATTCCTGACCATACAAGTTGCAAACAGGAAAGGGAAACTGAAGAGGAGACAAGGCAAGGCACAATGTGTCACGAGTTACATCTGTTGCCTTTTGAAGGCAGATGTGAACAAGCTCTGCCCTTGCTTTGAGCCAAATGAAGCTGTATGATCACATTCAGTGTCCAACACTAGCTGGACATGAGTGGAAAGAGTCTTCTCCTTTCATCAGCTCACCTCAGGGTTAGTGCTCTGCTGAGCCTGGCTCCTGAGTGGCTTAGAATATGGCTGCAACAAGCTTGCGCCTGCCTGTCAAATATTTGTAGCCCCGTCAGACTCATAAAGCAGGAAAAGCATTGGGCTGTATGGCTGAGCAGCGTGAGGACATGACCTCAGAAGGAGTCATAGGAAGAAGGGATGGGAATGGCCTTGTGAAGGGTTTGGAGAGGAATCCATTGAAGGGAATAGGAGCAAGGAGGCAGCGTGAGGGACAGGGAGGGGAATTGTAAAGACTCTACAAAGCCAAAGTGGGGCTGTCTGATGGTTACACAGGTTTTCCCCAGTGATAGACATCATGAGATTTGCTGTCTGAAATGTCCAGCAAGTAACTGCCTGTCCTCTTCTTTAGTGTTGCATCGACTTGGAGGAAGGAGTCCTGAGATTTAAAGCACTGAGTCAAGAGCTGCCTTTTCTACATGTCTCTGAAGAGCCTGGTCAGTGACTGTCTGCACTCCCCATGTTTGCAGCTGAGGAGGCTTGCTGCCATGAGAGAGATGAGGGTGAGGCTCACATGCCCCTAACCTTGCTGAGTTCTAGGCTGAGGCATTCACTGGGGAGTGAGAAAAAGGCAAATGGGTGCTAGAAGCTGTTGTTGCTGGGAGTGCCTCATCTTGAGAGAGATCCCTCCTTTCAGTGGACCCTCTTGATTGTTCCGCATGTGCCAAATGGGCATCTTGTTCTTGTTTTTCTATCTGTCCCTAGTCACTCCAATTTCTGCTTCTGTACTACATTCACCCTACCCTTTTAACAATTTATTTTTACAATATCCTCTGTTCATGAGACCAGAGTCTCTGTGAACAATCTCCAGTTGTTCTGTGGACAGGAAAACAGCACTTTCCCCCAAAGCCTCCAAAGATTATCATGAATGTTTCCCTTCTCTTTGCCTCAATGTGAGTGGACTCCACTCCCATTTCTTTGTGGGAAGGTGTCTGTGGCCAGTTGCTTCATCTGTACTCTGGGATGCTGGATTTTGTTACTTTTTGCTGGCAGAAGTATTTTCTTGGAAAAACCTTGCCGCAAGAACACTTTCAGAGTTAATTCTAAGAAACCTTTGCAGAAATGCTGAGCATAGATGTCTAGAGTACAGAGGACACTCACAGGGGCTCAGGCTTTGCCACTGCATCCTTGGCAACTAAGCTATATTATAGGAATGGCAATGCTTATCATCTCTTGGTGTTATACACAGTAACCAGAAATGCACAGCCTGTTCTGACTGGGCCTCTCCCTCTCTGCATTCCAGCTGCTAGAGCTACATTCCTATCACCTCTGCTGCATCATCAGAGATCCTGCCACTCAGTTTAAATGCTGCAATGAATTAGAGCACCCAGAGTCTTCTGTTCTGTCAGCTCCTTTCTTTCAACTTGAAATCTAGTGATTGGACACAGATACATCAGCCTCAAATCCCAGCATCTCACAGCCCATCGACTTTGCTACTGCTGCATGAAACAACAACTAGACTTCCTTGCAGTATCAGCTCAGGTCAGGGAACTGTGAGTTCATCTAGGATGACCAGGGTGATTATTAAGTCTGTTGGGTTTTTATAACATTTTTTTAATTTGCATCCTAAAGTATAGCTGTATGATAAATACATAGTCTACTCTTTACTAGTGCTAGGGAAGATGCACATCAGGGCTTGTTCCAGACCTCCTGACTACTGATTCACTACCTAAAGTCTGCACAATGTCCCTTTGTTCACCCTTAGAATGCCGTTTCATCCCCATTTTGCCTATCTTTCTGGATAGGCTAGCTCGCTTCCTTTTTTATCAAACTGCTTATTGCTTCTGTTACGCTTCTCAAACAACTTGTGTACGCATTTTTGCTTTTCCTGTTAGTTCTTTCCTAAATAAGATGTTGTATGCTGTAGTTCAACACATGCTAAGGACAGCAGAGTACAGCCTGGCTGATACGATTTGAGATGCACTTAACAGTGCTAGTTGGTGTGACTGGCATCTGCTCCTCCTACAAGCAGCATGAGGCTAGTGTTGTTAGTCATCATAGCATGCAGCTTCTGATCTGTTTCTTGGCTTCTTTGCTGTTCTACTTGTGCATCTGATTATTTCTGGCTGCTTGAACTACTTTCCATGAATCTCCTGAATGACACCAACAGTTCTTCCATTTATGCAAGGACTCATGTCTACTCAATGAGCCTGTCTGGTTCCAAAGTACCAGTAATTCTTCCTGAATTTGTATCACTTGCATGTCTGATTGGCTTCTCAAACACAGGGGTCTTTCATGACCATTCAGAGTTGTACTAAACCATCCTGTGTGTCAGCTGCAATCTATGTGCAACTGGGTCAACTCTGCTGAAAAAAATCTTGTTTGTGATAGATGAAACACCTGCTCATATGTGCAGCAACTTGCCTAGTTTCCAACTCTTGTGGCCCTCTAAAAATGGCATGTGGAACAATGACAATCTGCTAAAGCTGACAGATACCACGTGCATTACATCTCTTGTTATTCATCAACTTTTACAATCTATTTTAAAAAAGGACAAAACCTAAAACCTTAACCCTAAACATTAAAGCTAACTCTAGCCCTAACCCAAACACTAAACCCTAACCTTTAAACCTAACCCTAAACGCTGACCCTAACCCTGACTCTATTCCCTAATCCTAAACAACTAGCCCCTAAGTATAAACCCCAACCCTAAACATAACCCCGTAAATCTATACTCAACACCTAACCCTCACCCCAAAATGTAAATCTAATCCTAAACATAATGCTAACTATAAACCCTAACCCCAAAACCTAACCCTAATCCCGAACCCTAATCCTAAACTCTAACAACTAACCCTCTGTCCCTAAACCCAACACTAACCCTAAACCTTAACACAAACCCTAACACCAAACCCTATCCTTAACCCCCAGCCCCTAACCCTGAACATTAGCCATAAACCTAACCATCTAAATATAATCCCCTAAACACCAAACTCTACCTCATAACAATAACCCTAATCCCAAATCCTAAACCTAATGATAACTCTAACTCCTAATAATAACTTTAACATAGGTTAAACCCTAATGCAAACCATAACTCTTAACGCTAACCTTAAACCTAATCACCTGATCCTAACTCTAACCCAAAATATCCTAATCCTAACCCAAACCCCCTAACTATAACCTTATCTCAAATGCTTAAACCTAACTTGAACATAACCCCTAACCCTACCCTAAACTAAGCCTAATCCTAAACCCCAACATGGGACCTAAACACAGAATTGAACACTAACACTAAACCTTAATGCTAAGCCGCCTAACCCCTAACCCTGACCATAACCACTAATCCTGCTTCCCTCTAGAGTGCCCAAGGGCTTTTGCTGGGTTTTGCTTCAGCCTGCAAGGGGCTCTGCTTCCCTCCAGAGCACCCCAGGGCTTTTGCCAGGCTTTGCTCATGCCCAAGCAGGTCTCCACTGCCTTCCAGAGTGTCTGACAACTTTTGCCGGGCTTTGCTTCGCTGGTGCCCACAAGTGGCTGCCAAGGGAAGGTGAGGGCCACTTCTGTGTGAAGCCATGTCTGGTGGGTGTCCATTTCGGAGCTGGGCTCTGGCTAGGCTGAGGGTGTAGCTGAGTAAGAATCTTCCTGAACTCAAGACTGAAGCCAACAGAAATCTTTCCAATGATTTAAAGGGTGCTGGATGGGATCCTACAGAAAATTGGCACGACTTTGAGCTGACAATTCTGACTAGTGCTTGTCACTTATAGCCCTGCAGATACTCGCACGCTAGCTGCTGTTGGAATTCATCAGGTGCTGTTCCTACACATCAGTCTTGGGATAACTGCTCTTGCTCACCCTCAGAACATCCTTGTCCTTCTGAAGTCTGTGATTTCTCAAATCACTGTCAGGTTCCTCTGCGAATGTGTGCTACAGTAGGTGAAAATCACCAGCCCTATCTATCCCTCTCTTCCCTGCATAATGAATCCCTCTTTGCATCCTCCTTACCTTCCCCCAAGCAAGTCATTCATTCTTCCACACTGGTAAGTGACAATTTGCTTCTTCCAAATGGAAGTCTTTCCTTTATAGATAATCCTTTTAACACTTTCCTGTACCCTGTTTGCTAACACTCTCTCAGGTTGTGGCATTATCTTCCCACCATTTCCTCTTTGTTGTTAACAATTACATGTATAAATGTAGACTGTACCACTTGTCAGTCACAGAGAGGATGTTTCCAAGCAAGTGCTAAATTAGCATGTGACAGATCTTCTTTTCAGCTGTGAAATCAGCTCCGGAGCAGAAGACACGCTTTTTGCCTTCCTCCTGTTGATGTCAGTTGAACATGCAGGTCTCCTCCACTCAGACATTGAGGAATCTGTTGCCAGCAGTTAACCTAGAAGCTCCCCATCAAGCTTTGTTGCAGGCAGAGTTTACAAGAAAAAAACCCCACATTTATATGACTAAATGAGAACAACAGGTCATAACACCATGGCTGACAACTCAGTTCAACTCATTCTCTTAAATCACAGCATAATCCTACAGTGTCAGTATCCGGTTTCCTCATCATCAAACCAAACTCCTAGTGGGTTTCCATCTCCCAAAGTTCCTTGGCATTAAATGGCATGTTGTTACTGACCTTAACACATGTATTCTGAATTCTTGCCCAAACTGGTGTTTTCTCCAAAGACCGGCATTTTTGTGTCATTACATGGGAATCCCAGCTTCCATTGTGAAAGACAGAAATGTTGGCTTTAAAAAAAAGTGTGATTATAAAACAGAACTTAAAACATCTCAAAGAGGCAAACTCAACCTCATCTACAAATACGGTAATTTTTAAGTCTTCCTACATTAGGGAATCCAGTTAAGTAATTTTTAAGTGGGTTGGCAAGGCTGAAAACTGTCTCAATCATAGTTTCTTTTGGAAAAGCCCATTACACAGATACACTTCCCTACCCCCAATTCTTTCATCTCTATTGCTTTTGAGGGACAAGGGGAAGGAAAGGGCTCCCTAATTGTGTTTTCCACTGGAGACCTAAAAATGCTAATATTTTCATATGGAAAGTAGAAATTCAGTACAAACTGTCACCTCAGAGCAGGACACAGGCACATCCTGTATGTGTTTAACACTGGCTTCCTTATGATGAGGCCCACCCCTTCAATATAGACAATGAAATGTTAATATTTTAGGGATAATCTCTCTGAACTGCCTTGATGGACAGCTCCTACTAGGGCTACTTTCCCATAGAGTGGACACAACAGTTTTGAAACAGTCTGCAGGGAAGCATCTGCCACAGAAAGTCTTTGGAACAGAGAAGTGTTATATGTCCAGTGTGAGACACATACGGCTGTCAATGGGGAGATGGACTTCTGAGGCCCCTTCCAAGGCCTATGTGCAAGAGGTAAACCTATCCTGAGAACGTGCACTCTGACAAAGCCATAATCAGGACCATTTAGAGGAGCTTGAGTTTTGGATGGAAGGGGAGCTCCAGCCATCCACATTCCAGAAGCCTG